GGATCAGGCGAAGAATCAGCCGAGCCCGCTAAGGGGGGGAAGACGGACGACGATGGGCGTGCGGGACCATCCGCGGCCAACTCTGACACTCGCGCTAATCACGACGTGGACGGACTGGTGGGACCCACACGCTGGGACACAGTGGACGCCAACAGCGATGACGTGCGCATACCGAGCCGTATCCTCGAGCAACTCATTCAGGCTCAGGACAAGAGCGCCAAGGAGAACGCGCGGTTGGAGGCGCTGTTCTTGAATGTGATGTCGAGGCCGTCCAGTGGCTCTCATAAGCGTAAGGCGACCAGGCAGAGAGACCCGGGGCAGGGTTGTATGAACCCGAAGCGTAAGCGTGGCGAGACGTGGAGTGGCGGGTCAGACGATGACGGCGAGGACGACGATGACGACACACATGGATCTGGTGGCCGTCATATGCGCACGGCCAAGTCTCCTATTCTGCAGCGCGCCTTGGAGCATTTGCCTGCGGACAAGGCGTGGAAGGTGAGCGGGCCCGTTCCCGTCCGGTTCCATTATTCAACCGTCATGCATACCGGTGTGCGCCACTCATGTTGTTGTGTATACCTTATGTGCGCAGCGGGTGTGCGAGCTGGCCAGGGTGCACATGTTTCTCAACAGGCCGACGTCGATGATGACCTTCTACCCGAGCAGCGACGACAAGACACACGGGGTGTGTGCGGTGCTGGACCGCCTGCCGCATAGCTTCGCCTGTTTGGCGTTGGCGGCTGACAAGTCGCGTCGCGCTGATCTCAACAAGACACTCTCTGAGTGGAAGACGCGGGCTGCCGCCCGCGTGCGCGACATTGCACTTCCCAAGCTCGGCTTGTTCCGCGACGATCGGGACGCATCCAGCCCATGGGCACCGGAGAAGGAACGCAGTATTGAGAAGATCCGGGAGCGCATTGGGTTCGGCGCTGACCCCCCTGGTGCGGTCTACCCCAGCAACCAGGCTTGCCACCGCATCGTTATGCTGTCACCCTCGTGCGTGACGGCCGTTGACACTGACCTGCATGCACGTGGGAATGCAGAAACACTGGTGCTCACGACATGGGCGACAGACCGGGATGGCATGCCGTTCGCCTCTCGGGCGTTCGCGACATGTGCGAAGGCTGCATTCAGGCCCAAGAAGGCCGGCCTGGTGATGACGCTGAAGGTGTACCACCTGGCCTGGTTGGAGCATGTGGTGAGTCTGTGCGCTCTATGTGTGCCATGCATCTGTGTTGTTTACGTCGGACCATTTGAGTGACACGATGCGTGATGGCGCAGGTCTCCGACTGCGTCCTCTACTGGGAGCAGAGGAAAGGCCGGCTTTCCAACTCGGCCGGCGGAAACGCCCACGTTGTGGACGGCCTCAAGGTCCTGGTTAAGGAGGCCGTGGAGAGGGCGATCAGGATCCGCAACCCGGAGTATGACGCGGAGCGGGAGGCGTGGATCTGGGGGCGCCATGGTCTGCGCATCTCTGCGTGCGGCCTGGAGCACATGAGGCCCGCCGGCGCAGCCCAGCCGGAGGAGCCAGTGGGGGACGACGACCTTTCGGCATCCGTGGGGGATGAGTAGGACGGCTGGCGTGGAGGGGATGGGGGAAGCGTGGGTTTTACCGTTGCGGGGACAGTAGATTGGCTGCGTGTGTACGATGATTTGCGGCTGTGTGACAGGGTTATGTGTAGCTGTGGAACGCGCACCTGGGTTAAGCATGTGTCAGTGTTGAAGATGTGGGGGGGTTAGACATAGGCGTGGAGGCGTTGTATGTTTGTGTGTGCGTTTGTTGTTAATGGGAAAAGCTTCAATTGGGGTATTGCTCGCATATGACAGCACATAACAGAAACTATATGGTGCATGCCACAGCGAACCCGCCGTCGCCCAGATGTGCGGGACGGAGAGGGATGCGCCGCATTCTGCGGCGAATTTTACGGTGTGTGCCATGTGTCACCTGTACGTTGGACGTAAAGGACGCAGCGGTGCGCGTAAGTGGACATCTGGTTGGACCGCAACAAGGCTAAGGGATGACGTGGAGCCAATGGTATGGGAGGGTGGCACGCGCTTGTACACCCGTGTCACAATCGTGGACGAGCGTGAAGATGAGGCCGACGGTGGGATGTGCGCTGTGATATGCTATACGGGTGCGACAAATGCACGGTTGTGAGTGGTTCGCGCATACGTCGCAAACGTGAGCCACGATGGGTAGGGCAACCGGTTACCGTTTGTGCGATTGCATGATCGGGTTGCAAGTGTACGGGTAAGATGGATTAATTGTGCGTGACGTGGAAGGTCGGTGGTGTTTACGATGTATACAGATGGACGACGCAGGTGTCGTCGTCATCTAGTTGCGAGCGCAACCCTAATGGTAGGCGAGACTTTTCGCGAAGTGCACGAAACGGTGGCATTGGTTCAGGTGTACGGTGTTTATGCATTGGCGCGTCTGGTGCGGACGCACGATGCGCAAGTGGAGTGAGGCCGCGTGGATGAGGGGTAGTGGCTACCGTTGGCGTGATATGCGGTTTGCTGCCCTATGGGATGCATCCAAATGTACGGTGTGGGAAGGATGCTTGACCACCAGATGTACGGTGCAGATCGGAGCGCGGTGAGCTTGCAAGGATGTGCGAGTTTGTGTGCGCGAATGCGTAACGTGCTATGCGAGTTTATGTACAGGCGACACGTGTACCGTAGTGATTGCGTGACCAGGGTGTCCATCCAACGGTTGTGGTTGCTGTACGTTTTGCTGCATGTACGCTTACGTGGACGTGGGAGTTGAAACAGTATGCCACGTGGGGAAGCCCGTACGGATTGGCAGTTGGGGTTACGTGCTCGTCGCTTTCGAGTTGGTTGACACGGTATGGGCAGGTGAACATTTGGGTGGAGCAGCCCGTGACTGTTTAGCATGTGCGCAGATGCGGGTGGCGTTGCTAAACGGTTGACTGAGTTTGTGCAGAAAGGCGCGGGAAAGTGACTCGGAAGTTACTACGCCAGTGACTGTCGCCACGCAGTTCTAAAACCTTGACTCAAAAGTGCCGGGGGTGTACTATCGGGTAAGTTGTGCAAGAGTGTATTCAGGGCTACTTTCCGCACTTCCCAATTTCGCGATGTAGAAGAAAAAGAGGGGTACTTTACCCTTCATTTTCGCGCCACCGATGTACATGAAGGTGGCGTTCGTCGCCTGCGAATAGCCGAGCGCCACGTTGGCGTCGCTGACGGCGTAATCGGCGTTGGCGACAACCGCCCGCGCACTCTCGCGACTGGTTCCGAGGCACATCTTCGACAGCCCCGCTTGATACCTCTGCGGTAGGGGGGAAGACGACGAGAGAGAAGGGCGAAGTTAGTGAAATGCGAAGGCCAGAGAAGGCCAAATTTGTGATAGGACACTAGGACGCATTGAAAGATACGAGGTTGCCTTGTGCGGGGCCTCGAGCTTACCGCAATCATAACGCTGTCCTGCGCGCGCGTTCTTTCTGTCAAGAACTGGGCCCGTACGGTGAGACTGAGGGAATGTACGAGAAGTGCAGCCACAAGCACGTGTAGCACTTGGAGATGGATTTGATCGAAAAAACTTCTCCGCAGGGAAGAGGTGAACGATCGTCTGCGGCCGGTGGCTGAGAAAGAGCCTCGTCGATTCAACTGTTCCTGCTGCATTGCAGCCAATTCGACAGAGTTGCGAGGTAAGCGAGATGGCGAGCTTTGTCGAGTCGACGGAATCGCTGAGTGGAACGACTGCCGGAAACGCGACTGAAAAAGGTTGTTGTTCAAGTGTTACAGGGAGAGCACATAAGATGACAATGGCTTCGAATGGCAGATAACCTGGATGGAATGTGACTGATTGACTGTGTGCATGTAGTGCGTAGACTGAGATGGCTAGTAATCTACTTCAAGGTAGTGTGCTGGCAGCTCTGGCAATGCTGCTGAAGCTGTCGATCGGTCGGTAAGTGACGAGGCGATAAGTTGTTGGCTGCTTGGGGTTGGCTTAGATTTGTCAACCCTCCGCCACTCCAGCGCAATCAGTGTGACATGCGCACCACACATTGCGCCCCTGCAAGCCCCCACGCTTCCCCTTCTTGCCCCCTGCAATTTCTTCCCCCGACCAGACTGTGTCACCCAGAAATGACTTGGCATCTTTCGTCGTCAATCATGCTGCTTGTTGGTTCGTCAATGTCTTGTCGAATCGTCCCCCAGCCAGCCATGCCGCCCCTGATTGCATGGCCGAGATCCAGCCAGCCATGCCGCCCCTGATTGCATGGCCGAAATGCCGAGGGACATCGCATCGCGCGACTTCCGATTGGTTGGAGGCTAGAGTGGTTTGGGCTGGGTTGGGGGAGTGAATAGATTTGGCAATTTTCGCCAAGGGCAGGGCCAGGTTGTGAATGTGGGTCACTGTACAGGTGTGGTTGTTGAAAGCAGGTTGAAACGACAAATCGAGATGAAGCAAACAACCTGCAGGTTTTCTTGCGACAAATACGATTGGTTGCGACGAATGCGCTTGCCCAAAATAACTGCATCCTCTTTGTGCGCCACCGCAATGCTGGATTTTGCCCTAGCATCGGTCGGGGAGGGCTGTAACGGGACGAATAGGAAGTTCGAACATAGTGTCTTTCACTCAGGATACACCCTCTTTCTCACTACACTGAACTGTGCTGAACTGATGGAAAACCTAGTTACCTTCGATTTGTCTGATTGAACCATACCTAGACTTAATCTAACCACCGTTAACCGTGCTTTTCCCATCTTGACTTCACTATAACCGAATTCACAATGGCGAGAAAGAGGGTGTATTGTAATAAACTCCTACTCTAGCACTGAGCAAGTGATGTCAAATTTCCTTTATGGAGCAAGTGATCAACATTTACAATTCTCCTACTACCATACAACAGTCCACTCTGCGTTAGTCCTCGTACGCAGGTCCTACTACTTCAGGGGTCGTGCGTTTAGGCCAGACGCCTTGTCCAAGGAGCACGTATTTGTACATAGCAAGTCATGCCTTTTTTTGGCACCTTGGAACTCTAACAGGGCTGGGTCCTGTAACACTTGCACGAAGGGACATACACGTATCGCACACACGTTCCCATCGATGATATTGTATCCGCTCGCGAACTGCTTGCGAGCAGCCTTCGTCGACGCCTCGCAGATACATCCTGAGGAGCTGCATACCTCCCAACCATTTCGTATGCAAAGTAGCACGGAGCGTTCGAGTTGCAGTACTGCTGTACCACCGCTGCGGGACTGTAGACGGGTCGGTAAATCATGTACACCGTAACGTGCGCCTCGATATACGGGTCATAAGTAACGAGAATTGCCCCCGAGAGGTCGTTAGGGTCAGCTTTGGCGCCGTATTGCTCAAGGTATGAAGAAACCATTCCATATGGGTCGGCCGGAGGGGAGAGATCTGCACCTGAGACCTGAAAGTGGAGGAAGGAATGTGGTGATTTTGGAATGAGGAGGGGAAATATGAACAAGTGCATAGCTACTAAACGCAGGGAAACCAGGACATGGAAGATGAAATATGTAGACATGGAAGCTTATATGCAGGGGCATGAGTACCGGATAAGGTGGAGGTTACAGAACAAGGACTTTCAAGGCAGGCAAAAACTCGCTTACCGTGAAATTGGTCTGCGTCATGGGAGGGGCTGATACTGTTCCTGCAGCGTCAACCTCGAGAGCCGTAGGATACATGTTCGACACGTCCAAAGTCACTTGCGGGGCGACTTGTAACGCGGATGGCACTGTCAGGGAGACCACATACGACGAGTCCACTACACGCTCGGGTAGGCTGCGCAGATCGCCCTTCACGAATTTGTTTGTAGAGGGGTAGTAGGAGTATACACCCAATAGACCCGGTGGGACGCAGCGGCGAGGTCCTGAGGAAGGAGGGGATAGTAGATGGAAGATACAGGGGATGTGAAAACGAAAGTTCTGTTGTAAGGGGAATGGTATAATCTTGAGAGGAATAAAGGAGAGAGAAGGGGGGAGAAAGGGAGGCCTGAGGGGATGGTATGCAATTGAGTAATGGGGGCAAGTCCGAGTGGGGGGCAGGGGTGAGGCGTGGGGGACGGGACAAGTGGATTAGATGGAGCGACGGGTTGCAGAGAGGGGAAGAGAGAAATAACGGAGGTTGGTACAAACAAAAAAAAGGGAAGTTTACCTTTAATTCTCGCGCCGCCGATGTACATGAAGGTGGCGTTCGTGGGCTGCGAATAGGCGAGCGCCACGTTGGCGTCGCTGCCGGCATAATCGGCGTTTGAAATAACCGCCCGTGCCCTGTCGCGACTGGCTCCGAGACACAGCTTCGACAGCCCCGCTTGATACCTCTGGGGAGAACAGCGCCAAGGAAAGAAAAGAGCGTCAGATAAAAAAACTTATGAGGTTGAAAAAAAAAAAAAAAAAAACTTATGGGATGCTTGATTTAATTAAACGGCGTGAGTTTGTTTCTGGAAAGTGTGTCCAACAAGACCACGCACAAATTGCTCTCTTTACGACCTTGCACGAAGCGTCGGAGACTTGGAGCTTACCGCAATGACGACGCTGTCCTTAGAGTCGCGCGTTCCTTCTGTCGGAAACTGGGGGCGAGCCGCGAGCGCCAAGGCGGGTAAGAAAAGGGTAGCGAGGAGCAGGTGTACTTGGAGTCGACTGGTAGCGCTCCGTGGGGCTGATCGCGTACACGAGCGGCGGCGACTCGTCGATGAGAATCTATCTCGTTGATTTGGCGGTGTCTGGTGAATCGCAGCCATTTCAACGGCGACGCGTGGAGATGTGGGAGAAAGGGTGAACTGGGTCTTGACTGAAAGAAATGGTCCAAGGAGGGAAAGAAAATACTGACTGGGGCTTCAAAGAGCTAAAAATCCGTTGTCGAGAAGAAATATGGGAACGGATAACTATTGCGTAGCGAATAGAGTGCGAAACAGAGATTCACAAGCTTTAGTGCGTTTCGATGCTCAAACAAAGCCTGGCCTGTTGAAAGTGATAATCCTTCTAGCTGGTGCGTGGGTACGTAGGGCTGGTGATTGACTTGAGTCCAAGGTTATGTACATGCTGTTGTGGCAGTACAGGGAGGAGTCTGTGGAAGAGACGCGACGCAAATGCTGTTGGCTGCTTGTGATTTCTGCTTCAGCTGCAAAAGTCGTCTAAGGGCGTGCTACGGCCGCACCTCACATACCGCCTCTGCTTGGTGATTTGTGAGTTGAACGTACGGAACTGACAGAGATTTTGGCAGTGATTGCGTTGCGGCGAAGCGGAAATGGGGGAGGGCGCATTGCATCGCGCCGCGTCGGATGGCACCGATGCAGGGTGGGTTGGAGGTGGTTAATTTCTGTACACTGGTGCGGTGAGCGGGAGTGTAAAAAGGGTGGCGGGGAGCAAATTTACCCCAGGAGAATGGGCAGGTTTTGAATGTGGGTCACTGTTGGCGTGCGGGCAACCTGGAGGTTTCTTTACAAAAGCAGCTGATTGCTTGCGACGAGTAGCGTGCCGGAAATAGCCGCAGTTTACGGCACTGTACATCCTCCATGGTGTTACGTGTGTTGGTTGGAGGTTGTTGGTCGTTACACGAGCGTTATGAGCAGCATCGGCAATGTTTATTACCATTCGTGATGCCTTAATGAGTTCATACGACTATGGTTTAGACAGCTTCCAAGAGTTTATACGTTTCGAAAGCGTTGCTGAAACGTGACTGGTATCATTAGCTCATTGTTACGGGTGCAATGAAACGAGGTAGCGAGGATTGCACTAAGGTGTCAAACGGGTACAAAATATGAGCGAAGGCATGAGCGAACATTTATAAGCCGAAACATGCAAACGGTAACGCAGTGCGTGCGAGCTAGCTGGTGCTATGTTGTTAGCGATGCTCGGGCTAGTCCCGAAGCGTAGGCCGACACGGCCAGGCCAGCAGTGGGAGGTTTGGTGAAACACTGCGCCCGAAGTCGGCGAAGCCCCGTTAGCATTAACGAGCGTACAACGGTTGCTGATGTACGCGATGTTGTAATGCGCGCTAAGAAACGTCGATAAAATTCCTTACACTACCCCCCCCCCTCCCCCCCCCCCCCCCCTCAAGAAGCCCCCTCCGCTACGCGAGTGCGTGTATATCGCGGAAACCCCGGCTCCTCAGGTACATTTGCAGGGCTAGTTGGTTTTCGATGTTGGCCAGGGGCACCCAGGTATCCTCAATTGGCGTGCGGTCCTTCCAGCGAATGAGGAATTCAATCCTCGTGATTCCCGTGGGGTGTCGAATCCGATGGCTTAGGATTTTTTTGGACTCGATGATCGGCTCCGATGCAGGGCGAGTCATGGATGGCGGGCGGTGGCGAGGCAGTTGGCTTGTGGTTGGGATGTAAGGGCGAAGCATGTCAAACATTATATGTTTGTGTGGTTCTAGGCTGTAGTGGGTCACACCATAAGGGGTACACCAGATTAGGGTTTGACATATTTGTACTGTTGTTCCTGCTAGTCACTCCTCATTCTCGGTTCTCATTCTGACATGGTATTACGAGCCTAGGTTCCACCTAGGACCGAAACGATAGGGCCCACCGTTTCCGCTATCCGCGCCCTCGTGCGCCGCCGTTCTTTTTCCTGCGCCTCGAGCGCCTCGTTCTCAAGGCCCCGTATGGCCCCGCGCTAGCCTCTTACGGCCCCCGGTCGGCCCCGCACTAGCCTCCTAAGGCCCCCGTCGGCCCCACGCTAGCCCCTCGCTAGCCTCCTAAGGCCCCCGATCGGCCCCGCGCTAGCCTCCCAAGCCCCCGTCGGCCCCACGCTAGCCCCGCGCTAGCCTCCTAAGGCCCCCGATCGGCCCCGCGCTAGCCTTCTAAGCCCCCGTCGGCCCCCACGCTAGCCCCGCGCTAGCCTCCTAAGGCCCCCGTCGGCCCCGCGCTAGCCTCCCACGGCCCCTGCAGGCCCCGCGCTAGCCTCTCACGGCCCCACGCTAGCCTCCCACGTCCCCTGCAGGCCCCGCGCTAGCCTCTCACGCCCCCCCCCCCCTTTTGGCCCCGCGCTAGCCCCGACCGGCCCTCCCGCGCTCGCCCCTCTACGACCGAGCCGCACGGCGCGACCCGAACCGAACCGCGCGACCCAGCCGAGCCGCGCTGCCCCAGCCGAGCCGCGCCGCCCTAGCCGAGCCGCGCCGCCCTAGCCGAGCCGCGCCGCCCTAGCCGAGCCGCGCCGCCCTAGCCGAGCCGCGCCGCCCTAGCCGAGCCGTGCCCTACTTACCTGTGCACAGCACTGCTACTGCTACTGCTACTGCTACTGCTACTGCTACTGCTACTACCACTACTGCTACTTCAGCTATGGCTAGCCCTACAGTTCTCTCGTTCGATTCTGAGGGCCACCCGATTAAGTTTGATACCTGGCTCGATGATCTGCACCTGTTCCTCCAGCTCACTGCCAGAGAGGATATCTCGCTGTACGATCACGCACTAGGCACAGTCCCTGCTCCTGCTACTACTGCTACCGCTACTGCTCGCTCGCAGTGGCAGACTCGCGATGCCCACGCCCGCTTTGCTATTCGCAACTCCCTGCCAGTAGATGAGCGTGAGCACTTCGGCCAGCATCAGACTGCGCAGGCCCTGTACACTGCAGTAGTTGCGCGCTACTCCTCCCCGACCTCAGCTGCACTAGGCCGTCTCTCCCTTCCCTACCTGTTCCCCGACCTGTCCGCTTTCCAGACAGTCGCTGACCTCATCACTCACCTCCGTACTAGTGATGCCCGCTTCCGTGCAGCCATGCCCGCTGAGTTTCTTGCCTCCAACCCTCCCCCGCTCTGGCTCACTCTCTACCACCTAGTCACCCGCCTCCCTGACACTCTGCGTACAGTCAGGGACCACTTCCTAGCTCGCTGCCCCACTGAGCTCACCATTACCGCCCTAGAGAAGGAACTACTTGCAGCTGAGAAGAGCATTGTAGCTGTAGGTACCTCTCGTGGCGACCCCCGCACCCCTTTCTTCGAGGGGTGTTCCCCCTCCCCCCTCCTCCCCTCTGTCGCCTCTGCTGCTGCTGTCGACCTTCTTGGTGCTGAGCAGGTCGGCTCTGCGTCCGCTCCCAGCGGGCGCCGCAGCGGCAAGGGCAGGGGAGGCAAGGGCGGTGGGGGTGACGGCGGGGGAGGCGGTGGTGGGGGTGGTGGCAGCGGCGGGGGCGGTGGCGGGGCTGGAGGGGCTAGTGGCAGCGGTGGGGGTGGTGGAGGCAGCGGCGGCGGCGGTGGCCGGGGTGGGGGCGGTGGTGGTGGCGGCAGTGGACGTGGCGGCGGCAGGGGCGGTGGTGGTCGTGGTGGAGGCGGCGGTGGTGGTCGTGGAGGCTCTGGCACTGGCCAGAGTGCGCAGCTTCCTCAGTCCTCCCAGGAGCTTTGTGAGTGGTACTTACAGCACGGGGGTGGGGGGGGTAGCCTTAGCTGCACGTACGTCATCCGCACTGGTCGCCGCAAGGGACAGACGTGCGGGAGGGCGCACACTTTGCAGCGCTGCTTCTCTCGCCTAGATGACGCTTGGCGTGCTCAGTTTCCTGACGCTCCTGAGCTCCCTCAGTGGGCTGATCTCCTCAAGAAGGATATCGATATCTATGCTCTTGATTTTGATGTTATTCTCAAAGCAATGTATGCATTGACTATTAGTGGAGAGGAGGACCAGTACCTGAGTGTTCCGCCTGACCCAGGCATCCGCACGAGTGAGGCTGCCGCCCTAGGTACTTGCGTGTCTGCTACCCCAGGTACTGGTGAGGCTACTGCTCTAGGTGCGTGTGTGTCCGCCACCCCAGGTACTACTGAGTCCACTGAGGCACTGCACACCTTCACTCTAGACTCAGGCGCTTCGCGCTGTTTCTTTCGTGACCGCACTGCTCTTGAGCCCCTTGCTCGACCAGTCGCTGTCTCGCTCGCTGACCCCTCTGGGGGTCCGGTCATTGCGACCTCCTCCACCCTCCTTCCTTGTCCTGCTGTCCCGTCGGGCACACTGTCAGGTCTCCACCTCCCCTCGTTCTCTACGAACTTGGTGGCGGGTTGTGCGCTTCAGGATGGGGGTGTTCACCAGTTCACCCCTGCCTACGAGCGTGTGACACACTGCACGTGTGCTCGGACGGGCCGTCACCTGGCTACCTTCACTCGGCAGCCGGGGTCGGACCTGTACACACTGACCACTGAGTCCCCTCAGGTAGCGGCGTCTGCGTCTGCGTCAGGTCAGCTCTCTGCCCCCTGCTCGTGTCGCTCTCTAGCGCACAAGACTGTCCTCTGGCACCACCGACTTGGTCACCCGTCAGTGCAGCGCCTTCGGGGCATGCACGCCCGGTACCTTGTCTCTGGTCTTCCTCGGGTACTCCCTCCCCTCCCACCCTCCCTTGCTCCTCCTTGTCTTCCCTGTGTCGAGGGGCGGCAGCGCGCTGCCCCTCACTCCTCCTCGTTCCCCCCGACGACTGCTCCTTTGCAGACGCTCCACATGGACGTGTGGGGCCCAGCCCGCGTCCGTGGTCAGGGCCAGGAGAGGTACTTCTTGATCGTCGTTGACGACTACTCACGCTACACCACGGTCTTCCCCTTGCGCACCAAGGGTGAAGTCCCTGATGTTCTGATCCCCTGGATCAGCAGAGCACGTCTTCAGCTGCGAGAGCGTTTTCGCTCGGAGTTTCCTGTTCTGCGCTTGCACTCTGACAGAGGTGGCGAGTTCTCCTCCGACCTCTTGGCAGCCTACTGTGCCGAGCACGGCATTCGCCAGTCGTTCACGCTCCCGGCCTCTCCACCGCAGAATGGGGTTGCTGAACG